TGGCTCTGCTCAGCAGAACGGTGATGTGAAAGTGAAGTCCTTTTCCTCTTCTAGCGGGAAGGAAGAAAGAAGAAGGGGGGGTTAAACGCTTTCGAACGACGCGGTTAAGGTCGTAGTGGTGCGAGGCGCAGGAAAGGTGGGGTGAGAGAAGCGACTTTGCATTGCACCACACTGGGCAACGGGGGGGGGAAAAAATATATATAAAAAAATTCATCGGTTTAAATGCTCTGAGCCAGGCAGCGGGGGGAAAAAAGCCTGAAGCTTTACAACCCCTGCAGCTTTTGCTGCTGCCTGCAGCCTTAGGAGAAGGCAGAGCCTCCCTGCCTGCTGCTTTGGCCCAGTATTTCTATATTATTTTTTTTTTTATTCTTGACGCTAGAAGCGAGTTCTGGGTCGAAGGCTGCTTGGAAAGCAGCTTTGTTCACAGCACAATGCAAAGCTGGCGGCCGAGGCTGCACCCCCCGTCCTGCCGCAGCCTGCGGGGACGCTGCCTGCCTGCTTTATTTGGGGGGTGATTTATTTTTTCTTTTTTTTTCTTGCTTCTCTATTAATGTTGAGGGACAAGGGAAGCGCCGGAGGTTCCCTGAAAAACAAAGCGTCGAAGCTGGTGGCTGGGAGATGCTAGGAAAATGGGGAGAGGGGAAGTAATTTCCCACCGCCGCTCAGGCTAGCGGGCAAACGCAGGCGTAAGGACTGGGGTTATAAACCCTAATTAAATCTTGATGGTGACGAGTTAAAAGGCCAGGTGAAGCAGAGCGTGGCATGGGATTCCCGTGAGTTTTATTGCTCCGGTTATTCCCTTTCCAACAGCCTCCCCGACCGGGTTGCGAACTGGAGCAGCACCAGTGACCGTGTCGTGGCAACAGGAGACCCCGAGATAAAATGGTTTGCTCTCGCTCAGGTGCATAATTTGGGTTATAATCTGTTGTTTTCCTCTCTCTCCGCATGCGAGGGTGTGAAGCGGGCTGGCAAAAGGAGTTGGAAATAATCACTGGGCTGAGCCCATCCCGCTTTGGGAGGCTGCTGGGGAAGGGAACGCAATCCCACCGGAGCTCTGCGTGGGGATGCTCCCCTTCCCCCGGGGCTGGTGGGAATCCCCAAACCCCTCCTGGTCCTCGCTAGTCCCTGGGGATTGCCAACCCCTGTTTGATGGCAAAGCCGAGGGGGACCCACGTCCCATCGCCCTGCAGAGCGGGATGGAGCGTGCTCTGCCCCATCCTCACCCCCCTCCTCTCCCCCAGCCCTTTATTTTGTGGTTTTTTTTGTGGTTAAATAACCGTTTCTCGGGTACCTGCCACCCAGATGCTCAGAAGAGGCCGCAGTCCTTGAGGTTTTCTTTGATGATGACGTCCGTGACGGCGTCAAAGACGAATTTGACGTTCTGCGTGTCTGTGGCACAGGTCATGTGGCTGTAGATCTCCTTCACGTCCTTTCGCATGTTGAGATCGAGGAACTGGGTCTTGATGTAATTGCCCGCGTCTTCAAACGTGTTGGGACCTGCGGAGGGAAGAAATGCTGCTGAGCTGCTCCCACGGGAGATGAGCGTCAGAGCCGGGCGAGGACCGGGGGATGCTTAAGGCTTTGTTTTTAAGACCTAGATCTAAAATCTTCCTCCTCTGGAGGAAGAGGAGGAGAAGAGCCAGGTGGCAACTGCACCTAGCAAAGCAATTTAAAAAAAAAAGAAGCCATTTTATCCCATTTCTATCCTTCCAAACACCATCCCGAGGTCACATCTGTCCTCTCCTCTGCTCCTACTTCCAGGGACTTGACTTGATCCCAGCAAAACCCAAACCCGAGGTGCTGTGGCTGCGTTGGGACCACGCGGTTCCCCGGAGAT